GCAGATGTACAAAATAATAAAAAAATATATATTCATTTATTTCCATGTAAATATGTTATTTCTTTTAAAAATGTCCTCTTCCTGTAATTTCTACCGTATTTCAATTGTCACGGGGGTCTAACGATACCCCATATTTGAGTGAAGTATATACGTTACTGAGGATTAGGTAGTGCGCATGCGTGGGAAAAATCCCACGTCCTGGCATCACTGCACAAACGCTCCTAGAGGAATCTCGAGAAATGACAAAGATTTGAATAGCGACTAACCGCGTCATTTTCCGCACGCCGAGCGTCTGCGCATAATTACAGGGCCGTGACACGCATTAGGCGACACCCAACTCCGGAACCACTGATGCCAGAATCGTGGGTAAACCGCGCGAGCGCTTACCCTCTCCATGCCTCCCGTGGGTATTTTACACAAGCATATTCTAGCCTGTCCGTGAGCTCTGCCCCCACTACGTCCTACTCGGCGACTCACCAACACAAGCGTTTTCTACCTCTGTCCGTGTGCGCTCTGCTTCGGGTGTTCTCGGCAAAAGCCTACGTCACGCGTTTACGACGCGACGGCCGAGTGGCCCAAGCCAGGTCAAAAATCCCAAATCCCAAGCAACCTAAAATTTACGTCCTAAACGCGGAGAGCTGCATGATTTCTCTCACGCGTTCATGATGAAGACCCCGTCCGAAACTCCGTCCGAAACCCCGTTCGAATCCCGATGCGACGGTTTTACTTTTTATTTTTAATTATTGCATAATTTCATTTTGTAATATGTCAGTAAAATAAAAACTTCGAAGATATTGATTCAAGAAGCATTTTAAAAAAATGGGAGATGTATTTATTCCTCTTCAATATTTAAATTTTATATTACACAAATACATATTCTCTTATGTATACACAAATTATTCGTACAATTAGATGTTACCTTCATTCTAAGTATTACAGTACATACATATGAAAACATTGGAAGAAAAATCCATCACATTAATATGTTACGTACAGTAAAATGAAAGCTTGGAAGATATTAATTTGAGAAGCATTTTCAAAATCAGATTTTTTTGTTAAGCTGGTCCACGCATATGCATTTTGTTGATTTGATGTCGGTGAGCATGGATAATATGCATGTACATACAACACATCGTCTTTTCTTTTTGTCCTGTAAATAATGTCACAAGTGTTCCGTCCTCAATATGGACTTTCTTTACTCACGGTATATTAATTTCTTTGGGCGGCTAAAATGCTTCTTTCAAAATCTGGGAAATTCCTAACAACCCCTTTTGAAATAATCGGACAATAATGTATTCGGCGCGCGTATAATTGCACCTAATTCAAAGTCCCTTTACGTTAAAATGGTTTCTAAGAATTCAATACCGTCCTACTTTCCGGTAATAAAGACATTTCCAAATTATGTGTTACAATGAGCCACCGTGCAGTCTCGTTATTGCCTCCATTTACGATAGGGTTGCCCGCGTTGCGGTCAGATACGTCTCACCCTAAGTACCTGCTCATATACGCGCGTCATGGTCATATTCGGTAGTAGTACTATTATTCCAATTGCGGTTCACACTATGTGTATACTTCTTTTCAGACATAGAAAAGTAAAGGACTACTAACATCACATGTGCGTGGACCTACTGCAACGGTTCTCAGAAACGCGAAATATATCATTAATACAAAAATCGAATTTTGAAAATGCTTCTCAAATTAATATCTTCGAAGCTGTTATTTTACTGACATATTACAAAGTGAAATTATACAATAATTAAAAATAAAAACTAAAACGGTCGCATCGGGATACGAACAGGCTCTTCATCATGAACGAGCGTGTGAGAGAAATCATTCTGCTCTCGGCGTCGGTCCTTTACTTTTCTATATCTGAAAAGAAGTACATATGCACATAGTTTAAACCGCAATTGGAATAATAGTACTACTACCGAATATGACAATGAAGCGTTTCTGAAATTAATATCTTCCAAGCTTTCATTTTACTGTACGTAACATATTAATGTGATGGATTTTTCTTCCAATGTTTTCATATGTATGTACTGCAATAGTTAGAATGATGGTAACATCTAATTGTAAGAATAATTTGTCAATAGTATATATAAGAGAATATGTATTTGTGTAATATAAAATTTAAATATTAAAGAGTAATAAATACATCTCCCATTTTTGTAAAATGCTTCTTAAATTAATATTTTTGAACCTTTTATTTTACTGGCAAATTACAAACTAAAATTACACAATAATTAAGAATAAAAAGTAAAAGCGTCGCATCGGGATTCGAACGGGGTTATGGACGGGGTCCCTCGTCATGAGGGCGTTAGAGAATTCATGCTGCTCTCGACTCTCGGCGTTTAGATTGCTTGGGATACGGGATTTTGACCTGGCTTGGGCCACTCGGCCGTCGCGTCGTAAACGCGTGACGTAGACTTTTACCGAGAACACCCGAAGCAGAGCGCACACGGACAGAGGTAGAAAACGCTTGTGTTGGTGAGTCGCCGAGTAGGACGTAGTGGGGGCAGAGCTCACGGACAGGCTAGAATATGCTTGTGTAAAATACCCACGGGAGGCATGGAGAGGGTAAGCGCTCGCGCGGTTTACCCACGATTCTGGCATCACTGTCCGGAACCGTTTTGACTGCGGAGTTGACGAACACTGGTACCACCGAGTAGGACCACGGGAGCAGTGACCGGCGCCTTCCACCGTACAAGACTCCCAACGGAGGTAGTACTAGGAGACACCCTGAACAGCTGAAAGCTGTCCTCCAGGCATGGTTCCAGGGGAGCCGGAAATTTTTGCTGGGACATCTTCAGGACCCGAGGACTCTCCGAAAAGGTGGCGTTCCTGAAGACCGGCGAATACTCAAGAGGTGACTCGCGATGGGGCTCGCGGGAAACGAAACAGTAGAAGGGGGAAAGGGGTACCGCCGTACGTTACAGCCGATTGCCGAAACCGCGAGAATTCATTGGATTTCGAGCTGCGCGTGCGGGATATCTAAGTTTGTAAGATTTTTCGTGAACGTGCAAACGTGTGGGTGAGCTGGGCGAACCAACTCTAGCGGACTCATGTCGAGAGGAATATTGTAGCGGTAAACCCTCCATTTCCATCTCGGGTGAAATCTATACTTTAATTGCGGAAAAGTCATAGCGAACTTACATCGGGTGGTCTCCCACTTTCTGTGAGAGGCTGCGGATTCGCGGACGCGAGCGCGAGTAGCGGGCGGGCGTACTTTTCCGCGATTCCTCATCCTACTCGCGAACCCCGACGGTATTGTGAACTAGTCGGCAACCTTCACCCTCACGTGGCCTCCACCCGAATAAGATCGCGGAAGGCACCGGAAGTCTTACCCGGTGCCAGCACTCGGGGAGTGTCTGGCGTCCAAAAAGTGGAGGAGGGCGTAGTTGCGGAGGCCGAGAGAGGGGCTTCGTACGAGGCGGACCACGGTCACGCGGCGAACCGGGGTTCGTTACAAAATTTCGCGTAACAGGGTGTAGTCGGATAAAAGCGTCAAAAGTACCTTTACACCAAATTGGACTGGCGATGTACCAATCGATAGTTTATCAAGAAATAATTTGTATTAACTTTCAACCCACTGTCTCTACCAGGCGGATAATAACAGGAAAAAACTGGATTATCTGTTTTTACTCTACTTTCTCTATTCAATCACATGTAAAAATTCTGGAAAAATCTAATATATTGTAGTTACTGAAGCACATGTTACACAATTTTTTCTGATTTTTCGAATGGTCCATCACTAGTCGAATTGGGGGGAAAGACACCTTTGAACCCTTCATCCAGCTATACCCTTTAACACCAGTAAATATATTTATTTATCACTAGGTTTACGGACATTTCTTATACTCCTATCTGTACGAACACGCGTCAACGAAACCGCACATTTTGTTTAAAAACCAACTTATTTTTTTTAATACTCAATTTACGATAGCATCAAATTGTCGCGTATCTGTAGAGATGCGTATACTGCATAGAGAGTTTCGATATTAGAAGGCATTCGAAATGCGTCAAAATGACGCGTCCCGTGAACCTAGTGTTATATTCAGTATTGTTGCTGTTATTGAAAAATAAAAAGTGAAATTCTATAATAGTCACTTGATAGTTTTGTTTTGTTCAATAATTAACTGCTGAAAAAATGTAATTTGTTATTACAATTTAAACCAATTTCACTTATTAATTCAAGACCGTTCATCCTAGTAACCATGAAAAATATAATAAAATTAGTCATAATTCTTATTATGACTAATTCTTATTATGTATACTAAGAATTAAACTGATTAATATAATTTCCAAAAAAACCGATACCTATTTTAATGTTTAAACTGAGTATTATCCCTTTGCGGACTAGTACTCTTTCGATTTTGATTACTGGCAGACCGAGCATATTTTTTATATGCCGTTGTAGCGGCTGCATTTAACCTAAGAAGAAACATCGCGAGGTTGCTGTAGCGGCGACATTCGTACGCAAAGGGTTAAATATGGAAGAATTTTAAATAATATTTTTCAAATCATCAACGCAGTAGTGCATTCTACAATAAATTTAATTCTTCATAGTAAAAAAGAGACATTTATATTCTTATATAAATTTTAAACAATTAAGAATTAAGAAACTTCATTTAAATGAATGAGTATGTTTAAAATCATGAAAACGAAATGGTTATACATTTTATGTATTTGCAAACGTCTTAGATTATAATAAAATATATTAGAAATCGAACCTTGATATTTCAATTGCTTAAAGCGTTTTGTGACATCGTTGAGCTGGAGAAATTTGTATGTTTCAGTTTGTTCTCACATTTTTAGTATGTTCTCAACATTATACAAGAATACCATATTTTTACTTCATATACATAGTAATAGAAAAATTATTTATAATATATATTATTAGACATAGTGTATCATAGCATTATAGTTACAATAAAAACAGTTTTAAACGGTCAATTTTTATACTATATTCTAAAAACAACATTTAAAACAATCATCCTTACCTCTTCGAAGAAGACTTGAGTTTTCCTAAGTATATGTTTTAATTCAGTCAATTCCAAGAAATTCCGTTTAAGAGCTTCAGCATTTTGATTAACCTCTCGTAACTCATTTTCCAGTTTTTCAAATGTTGCTTCAAGATCTATCATTTCTCGAGGTTGAGGAGCTTCTGGATTTTCTCCAGTATCTAGCATAGGAATACCATCTTTTTTAATCTCTTTTTCCAAATACCGCAATTTACGTTCCATTTCATCACAACGGCGCACTTCATTGACAAATTTTCGTTGAAAAGCATTGACATCAGGATTGAGCTACATGTGAAATTAATAAATATTATTACTATTATGTAAACATATTTAAACTTAAAATCAAATGATAAAACTAAAAATAGAAACAGAAAACATAATATGTTAAAAGCAATTAAAATTCGCTGGTATTGTTCGTTTAATGAAAATGAGCCCAAACATGACATTACTCTAACTATTCTTAAAATACCCAAAGATTTTTTTCTTTTAAAAAGATTTTTTCAGAAACCAAGCATACTTTAAACTACACATAACTTAAAGTATGAATGAGATCACACTTGAATCAATAAAATATCATGAATATATGCCTAATGAAGATTGAAGAAAAGACATAGAAATGTAATCCATTTTAAGCCATAAAAATATAATTTTAGGTACAAATGAAACCTGAATTTATTTATAAGTAATTATATACTAGTTGTCAAATTTGTCAATATACACATGAAGTAAAAAATTATACACGTAAATTAAGTATTACATTTGGATTTTAAATTTAATTACCATATGATTAACGCAAAGGAAACACAGGTCATCAAGAATTAAATTCATACTTACAAATTTTGTAAAGATAATGTATATTGACAAACATTCAAGAATTAATTAAAAGATATGAGGGTAATTTGTCTTATTAGAGGCATTGTATAATTTATATTATTATTTATACTTTAATGATCATTTGACTCTAATGTTGGTTGCAATTTAACTAAAGTATAATGTACATATACTTTTAATATGCTAAGAGAATTAAAAATTTTTGAAATTTTAACTTTATCTAACAGATAACATTAACATCCAAGTAATTGTTTTTGTTCTGATACCAGTAAAGAAACTGTTTTTTTATTTTTAATATATTGATAACCTAGTAAATTTTATAAAACAATTATTAGAATGGTAATAATAACCTGAATGTTTTGGTTTAATTCAGTTACTTTATTACATTTAGAGCATGAATATATATTTTAATTTTAGAAATTTTGTTCTTTTTTAGACCTGCAATGGGCAGAATTCCCTAAAGAAAAAGGCGTGTCTTGACAAGTCACAAGACAACCATTATGGTTTATACATTTCCAATATTTTTTTGACAGTAACATTTGATATAATGATTTGAAATAACATATGACATATATATTTTAGACTTAAAGAATATTACTTCTTTTCATGGAAGTATAATTGATAAAGCACTTCACATTATCCAAAAAAAGTCTAATTATAGTCATAACGTTCTTACCTTTGAAAGAAATAAAATTAAAAATATTTGACTGTCTCATTACACTCAACATGAATAATTTGTCTTTCAAATTAACAGATCCAATCCGTTAAATAATTATAATTTCATAAATAACCAATGCTTTATTTTTCTCACATTTAAAGAAGCTTAATGACAAGAAATAAAGAACAGTTCCTCGAACAGTAACAATAATTAAGAAATATATTATGAGGTAATGTATACATTCTAAATGTTGCATTAACTCAAAACTCGAATACTTTCTTTCGAATATACATACAATACACAAAATATCTAATAAGCAATATAACAAAAACTATACATAACAAATATTATACTATGGAACTCACATCTCGAAATTGTACCAGTCCAAGCTCGCCGAGCTCTGAGACACAGGCATAAGCTGCTTCACTTTGCAAAAAGAGTTGACACAAGGTCATCTCTTCGCTCCGAAAAAGCGATCCCATATTTGATTTTTACAAAGTCGTAACGATATTTACATTCAATAAATTGGAATTACTAAAATGACCCAGCTCTTTCGAGTAAAAGTAAAATTGTTTAAGATAGAAAAAAAGCAGAAATATACCAATAATTCACTGATTCTACACGACTTTCTTCTGACAACTGCTTATCAGAGAAACCAATCTTGTGATTCCTTCTATACGACAAATACAGACGATACAGAGACTAATAATCAATGAACCACAATGAAGTAAGTAGTCACGAGGTAAGATGGCCATAAACCATAAATTTATGGTATGTACATTTATTCCAGATGTGTTGTTAACGCCCAATAGAACCACTAGCGCCAGTTTACTGTGGAATACCGGCCTTAATACAGAAACACCTTCTGCCACAGCAGACTCTAGTACTAGCCATGCTGAAGCACAACAGCCGACTCTATTAGCCATGCTGAAGGTAAAAATGGCAACAACGCGAGAGTTCGGCTTCAATATACCCAATCCAACCTACATATCAGCCTCCCAAGCTTCTCGCTTTCACCAGCCTCCCGGCTACTCAGTCTCTCTCTACCGGCCTCTCAGTTTCCCGCCTATCCTTCAAATGTTTAGATTATTGTAATCCTCCGAATGTAAGAAACAGTACAATAGTCCAGGTAAATTTTATTTATTTATATTAACTCTACATATCATTTGTTTATGTACAGCACATTTATTTAATAAAATCTATAGCCTTTTTGGAAATTTTGTTTTACATATATTTTTGTTTATAATTTTCATATGTTTATTAATAATGCTACGGCGTTGCTGTGTTCCCGATTGTAAGGGAAATTATGATAGTACTTTAAAAGATAGTAATTCTATATCTGTATTCCCCAAAAATGAGGAGTTGCGGAAAAAATAGATACCAACAAAAATTGGACACCAACAAAATATTCTGCATTTTGCAGAAAGTGATATTCAAAGGTACCTAAATATTCTATCACGCAATGGTGTACTGGAGAATGTTTTGTTGAGATGTCCAAGACTTATAGCGAATGCAGTACCATCCATTTTCCCCAATTTCCCTTTTTTGTAAAACATGTGCTACCACCAAGAAAAGATACTGTAGAGCGAGATCAAGAAATCATTGAAAGGAATGAAAATTTAGTCCAAGAATTTACTAATTCATGTTTAATTAGTAATTTCTCAGATTTAATAAATAATCATGAAGAAAAGTTTGTATTTTCAAACTGTTGGACTACTAAAATAACAAATTCAAAAATTTATTTTTGTATGCTCGTATGTAATGATAATTCTGACTTTTTGATTCTAAATTCACAGATTGTGTTTAGTGACAATATGAAATTACAAGTTTTTCAAGAAAGCAATGAAGTTTCATTCAATGATTTAAAATGGGTACTGCCTATTGATAAGAAATTATCTAGGAGGTCTCAGCTTGAAAATTTATTAAGTAGATATAAAGTATTACAGAGTCCACATTCTACCACTGACATATGTCTTATTGAATAACATCTTGAGAAATCTCTAAAACTTAATAAGGCAGATATTATTGCAGAATCAATTGAATGTGCTTATACTAAAAATCTTGAAGTAGTAATAGATCAAATAAGGCAAATAAAAAATAAAAAAATAGATATAACTCTTGCACCATTATTATGGCTGTTTTGTTATATTGCCAATCGTCGGCTGCATACAATTGCTTGTCCAATTGTGTTGTAGATTCCATTAAAATTTACATATCCGGTTATGGGTCTCATTCTGTTGCTAAAAAATTAAATTGCAATATATGTCGATTATTAATTGTGGAGGATAAAGGTAAAACTGTAGGCGATGTATATTTTGATCCCTTATAAAGAGGGAGCCTTTCTGTTCCCACTGAAGAAGTCATAACCTTATTTATTCATATGTATGCAATAATGGAAGCCATAATAAATGACAGCAATTTGGAAACTCAATTTTTGCAATCTGAAAATCAAACATATTTTATTTAAATTAACATATATTAGTATTCAATCAGATATACATTATTTACCATTTTCAGATACATACATTTGTGGTCAAAGTTACCACAGTATTTTGTTTAAATCATTGTCCATTTTTTCGAATGTTTTATTAAATGATTATGTGAAAACTGCAAGTAATAAACTGTTCTCTAACACGAGTTCATATTTAACTGCATAATTGTTCCTTTGTGTACCGTACGCGACGCGGTTGCTCAACTTAGTTGCTGAACTCTTCCGCGTATCTAAAACGTCGGGTTATTGATGTTTGAGTGTATTGAAAAGTGGACTGTATAAATATATTTATTAAACAATCAACTAGTCTGAACTATGGTTGTGAGTTACAGTATAACAAATTTGGTACAAGAATCTCTATGATTATCGGAGTTAATGTTTACTTGTTGACGGACCGTGTTGTTCTGCTTAGCAAACTAACAAACTAAAAAGTCTTTCGGTGTACGTGGCGCTGGTGGTGTGTTGACGCGTAGGTGGGAAGCGCAGTGAATATTTTCATTGGCTAATACAAGCTAGAAGCCCTATGACTGGTGGAAAGTCCTTTTCTATTGTACTCGACGGCAAGGTAACGTCGGTCCGCGCGGAGACTGGACTTCCGTCGCGTGTAATATTCGCCCACATGGCGAACACTCTTTGCCTGACTTGAGGCATAAAGGGTCATAAAGCAATTAAAGAAAGCCCGAATTTCGCAGTATGGAAATTAATGAAAAAGTCACGTAGCAAATCCTACTCTTGGTCTTAGCAGCTGCTAGAAAACCCCATAACGGTAAAATGACCATAACGGTATTTCTAAAAACTGTATACGCGACGCGACACGCCGGCCACCTTGAACAGCTACGTTCAACATTCACGGAGTTTACAAATCAGATATGTGTTTAAACTAGACATCCTATGAAATAGATGCTGTAATAATTCCAGTATGTGTGTGAATTCTGTGTGTATGTGTGTGTGTATGTATGAAAGTGTACTTATTAAAAAATTTTATATACATTATGATACACTAACAGAAAATACTTCAAACTTAATAACAAAATATGATAAATATTGACCGACTACGTTATGTACATCTATCATCGAAAAATTTACATCTACGTATGCTATGATATCACACGAGTGAGAAATTACTCGAATCGTTATCCTGAATAGGAAGAGGCGCTAGTTTCTTCACGCAGCGCTTGTAGACCCCTTGAGCAGTTCGTACTGTTACGACACGAACGATGTGGTCCTCCCCTGGATGTACATTGACGATTCGTCCCAATTTCCACTGCAACGGTGGCACGTTGTCCTCCTGGACAATTACCATAGCTCCCTCCTTGTAACGTGCAGTATCTCCGCGATGCCATTTGTTTCTGGTGTGCAGTTGATGCAAATAATCACGATGCCACCTGGACCAAAAATGCTGTCTGACCTTCTCAATGTGTTGCCACAAAGAAAGGCGATTAGTAGCCACATCTCGAAAATCACCCTCTGACAGAGTCGACAGCGAGTCCCCAATAAGGAAATGGCTTGGAGTGAGGGCAATTAGGTCGTTTGGATCCGAGGAAAGTGGGATAAGAGGTCGAGAATTGAGAATCGCCTCAATTTGAATAATAAATGTATTGAATTGTTCATAGGTGAACAATCCGTTTCCAACAGTTCTATACAAATGCTTTTTAAACGATCGTACAGCGGCTTCCCATAGGCCTCCAAAATGCGGTGACCGTGGTGGAATGAAATGCCACTGTACGTTTTCCTTATTGCAAAAGTCTTGAACCCTAGTGCGATATTCATCAGAAGATAAAAATGCCTTTAATTTAACTATCTCATTTCTGGCTCCTACAAAATTAGTTGCATTGTCCGTGTATATATGACTGGCTATACCTCTTCTCGCGAAGAAACGCTTTAATGCTCCTAAGCACGCCTCGGTAGTTAAATCAGTTGTTAACTCCAAATGAACTGCCTTTGTCACAAAACAAACAAAGACTGCAACGTACGCCTTTACTGCTGTACGGTTCCGAACTTTCTTCTCTTTAATTGAAAACGGACCACAATAGTCTATACCGACATTCTCAAAAGGACGAGTTGGTGTGACCCTCGCAGCAGGTAGGTCGCCCATCATGTAAGACGCTACCTTGGGACATGCTCGGTAGCAATGAATACATCTATGAATAATACGACGTGTACTATTCTTACCGTCAATAGGCCAATATCGTTGCTGAACTGCGTGTAACGTAGCCTGAGTACCAGCGTGCCATTGACGCAAATGCTCCCCTTCTATTATTAAATCTGTCAAATGATGCTTCCTTGGTAACAAAATCGGATATTTTTGATCAAAACTAATCGGAGCATGCTTTAACCTGCCACCGACTCTAAGTATTTCCTCCTTGTCTAAAAACGGATGTAAATTAATCAATTTGCTAGCCTTGTTAACTGATTTACCAAGTTTTAAATTTTGCATATCTGACGTGAATGCCTCTTTTTGCACTAATCTAATAATGGAAAGGTGAGCCGCTTGAATTTCTTCAGGTGTGAGACTACCGTGCCTTTTCGCACCCCCAACCCTTGCGTTACACACGAAGCATCGCATGTACGCAATGGCTGTATTCAATTTGTGCAGTGTCGAAAATCGAGAAAGAATAGAAGTGCAACTATGAGTCACGTATAAAGCTACTATCACGCGGTTCTCAGGTACCTCGATAGGAATGATATTACTTTTTGGCCACTCGCTCTCATTAAATTTGAGTCAAGACGGACCATTCAACCACATATGGTTTGCAATGAATTGTGACGGCGTTTGACCTCGAGAAATAAAATCCGCCGGATTGTCCTCACTTGCTACGTGAGCCCAATCCTTTGGATCAGTTAATGACTGTAATTCGCTAACCCTATTGGCCACGAAAGTTTTTAACTGATGTGGAGGTGTCGCTATCCAATGTAATGTAATGGTGGAGTCAGACCAAAATTTGACACGATCAAAATGCAAGTGCGACATTGCATTAGTCACCTCACAATATAGGTTTGCCAACAATTTGGCCGCACACAGCTCCAGTCGAGGAAGCGAGAGGGTCTTAACTGGCGCTACCCGCGATTTGGCGCACAAAAGAGACGCCTGATGTTTGCTATTGTTGTTACTTGATCTAATATAGATACAAGCCCCGTAGGCCGTCTCGCTTGCATCGCAGAAGCCATGCAATTGCAATTGCGTCGCTTGCTTCATGATCACATGTCGCGGAGTGGTAAAGGAACTGAGCAGGTATAATTCATTCTTGAAGTGTGACCACGGTAAATATACCTGCTGCGGAACGGTTTCGTCCCACCCTACGTTTGACTTCCACAGTTGCTGCATTAAAATTTTCGCTTGTACAATTATGGGACCTAATAATCCTAGCGGATCGAATAATTGAGCAATCTGCGACAACATCAGTCGTTTTGTCATACGCGTACTGTCCGATGAAGATTTCACGGAATATAATAGGTAATCCTCAGCAGGATTCCATACTACTCCCAACGTTTTCTTCGAATCAGTTGCTTCTAAACACAGCAGTTTCTGCTGAGTGACCGTATTTAATGTCTCAATAAGACCAATGTCGTTCGACATCCATTGACGCAGATGAAAACCGCCTAGCTGTGCGAGAGCTATTAGTTCATCTCGCAACTTTCGAGCGCTTTCAAAATCAGAGGTTCCCGTGAGCATATCATCAACATAAAAATCACGTTTGAAAATTTGTGATGCTAATGGAAATTTCCTCGATTCATCCTCCGCTATTTGTTTCAAGCATCGAACCGCCAAAAAGGGTGCAGAAGCTGTGCCGTACGTGACCGTATTTAATTTATAGGTCTTAATTGGCTGTTCTCGTGCTTCCCGCCACAGAATCTTTTGATACATTCTGTCTCGCGGGTCCATTTTAATTTGACGGAACATTTTTTCGATGTCCGCCGTTAGAACATACGTGTGAATTCTGAATCGAACTAAAATAGAAAATAAAGTGTCCTGAATTCTAGGACCGACCAACAAAGTTTCATTAAGAGAAACACCGGTTGAACTCTTCGCGGACGCGTCAAAAACCACCCGTGTCTTAGTAGTCTCGCTGGACTCTTTGATCACCGCGTGATGTGGAAGGTAGAACCCTTCGGTATGACAATCGTCACGCGTTTCGCTCATATGACCGAGATCTTCGTACTCTTTTAAAAAAACTGAATACTCTCGAAATAACTCCGGATTTTGCTGTAACTTCCGTTCTAATGAAAAGAACCGCTTTAACGCGGCATTTCGCGATTCGCCCAATAACCCTTTCTTTTCGTTGAACGGTAATCTTACAACGTATCTGCCATCGGAATCGCGAATCGTAGTGGCGGCAAAATTCATCTCGCATGCTGTTTCCTCAGCGGAAAGAAATTTTTTGTTGGGCAACTCTTCGATTTCCCAAAAACGCGTCAATTGCTTGTCTACATTTGTCGTGACATGACACGAACGAACGGACTGATTACGAGCGTTTTGAGTGACGTTGGTTTCTCCCGTCACTATCCACCCTAACTGCGTTTTCTGCAGTATAACCGAATCTTGACACAATTTTATTTGGCCGACGCTAAGTAACCGATAAAATAATGAAGTTCGGAGTAAAGCATCAACATCCGCGGGCTTATGGAACTCGGGATCTGCTAGCGATACGTTAGTCGGTATTGCAGGGCAATGCACCGGTAATCGAAGGTAAAACTATAAATGTTACCTCAGATTTAAATACACCTGATCTTGACTTTATGGTCGCTGATACAGAATATTCCGCGCGCGTATTTAATTGATTTAATCCCGCGAAATTTAAATCTATTTTGCGTTTGGGCAATTGCAGTTTTTCCGCTAGACGATGCGTAATAAAATGGGTTTGCGAACCTCCATCTAACAGTACGCGACAAAGGTGCTCGTTATTATACCTATCCACAAACTTTACCTGCGCGGTGCCAAGTAAGATCTCCGAATCATACGCTACGGTCAAAGTGTTACGTATAGGCTCTGAAATCGGTTTATTATTCGAAGGGTTTACCTGTGTGTTCGCAAAACTCTCCGGTTTTGAAGCAGCAAAATGAAGCATCGTGTGATGCTTACGACCGCACTTTCTGCAAGTTCTCGACCTACAGTTTTGTACATTATGCGACGGTTGAAGACAATTGAGACAAAGCTTCACCTTTCTAACCGCGTCCGATCGTTCACAGGGTGTCATTCGAATAAACACCGAACAAACTAAAATTTCATGTGTCTCGTTGCATAGGAAACAGAAACTCATGTTGTTTCGAGATACATAACTTTGTCCCCGTTTCTGAGACTTCATATGGTTGAACGGTCTAGAATTATCCTGCTCATCCTCTACATCATCACCCCTCGCCTGCTTTAGAATGAAGTTAATTAAATCCTCAAATTTTGGTATTTCCTCATTTTCCAAAGTTCTATCCCAGGCCCTGCGCGTGTCTTTATCTAATTTCCTAGTTACGAGAAAAATTAAAAACGCGTCCCAATGTTCCGTGGGCTGCTTTAAAACGCGTAACGCTTGTACGTTCATTTGCGTTTTCTCAGCTACATGCGTAGATTAGCTGGAGTGTCTTTCTCGATTTTCGCGAGCTCTAATAGCGATTTTAAATAGGCTTGCACTAGTTGTCGCGGTTTATTGCATCGTTTTTGCAGCATGTCCCAAGATACCATATAATTTGTTTCCGATACTGTGACACTCTCCATGAATGTAGTCAATTCTCCGCGTAAAGAATTTCTTAACAAATGGAACTTTTGCGTCGCAGGTAATTCATCATTATCATGTACCAAACTTTTAAAAGTATCGTGAAAGCTCGGCCACTCAAGTGGATTACCGTCAAATGTACGGAGCTCCATTTTTGGTAACAACGATGTTTTTTGGCTCACCGTAACATTTGCCGGTGACTCTAACGCACGATTTCTTGATGAATTACCTGCAGGTTTAGCCAACTCTTCTAATCTATGTAACCGTGTATTAATAATATCCGAAATATCAAAATACTGCGACTCGAAAGATTCCCTAACTGCTTCATGGTCGGAAATTTCATCTTCTGATTCTATTGCATTCTGTATTTGATTGAAGGAATTGTACCACTCTTCTAATTTCTCTTTTCGTCCCTTTAATATCGGAATCTCTAACACCTGATTCTGATCCAAAGATGTTCGTAAACGCGTTAATTGGCTTTTAATAGTTGAGCGTTGTTTACGCAACGATTTTAAAGTGACAGACTCTTGACCTGTAGCCATCTTAGTAGCAATTGAGGCGATTAGGAAAGGCAAAATGTACAGATAGGAAAAGACACTCGCTGTACTCACTCGAGTGATGTCCTGTACGATGCGTGCAAGGTGGTTGTCTGTCTCCTGACTGGTCCAGTCATGCCACTTCCGTTGATGCCCAGGTCAAACGGTAGGTCTCAACAGGTTCCACTGAATCGGCGTGACCGGTACTGCTACAGCTCCGCAGGCTCACTGAACGGATGCTGCAGTCCAGGTGCTCCTCACAAGTCCAGATGAATTTGATTGTTTCTGTCCGAACCGACAATCCGGCTCGAAGGACCAAAATGTACCGTACGCGGTTGCTCAACTTAGTTGCTGAACTCTTCCGCGTATCTCAAACGTTGGGTTATTGATGTTTGAGTGTATTGAAAAGTGGACTGTATAAATTTATTTATTAAACAATCAACTAGTCTGAACTATGGTTGTGAGTTACAGTATAACAAATTTGGTACAAGAATCTCTATGATTATCGGAGTTAATGTTTACTTGTTGACGGACCGTGTTGTTCTGCTTAGCAAACTAACAAACTAAAAAGTCTCTCGGTGTACGTGGCGCTGGTGGTGTGTTGACGCGTAGGTGGGAAGCGCAGTGAATATTTTCATTGGCTAATACAAGCTACAAGCCCTTTGACTGGTGGAAAGTCCTTTCCTATTGTACTCGACGGCAAGGTAATGTCGGTCCGCGCGGAGACCGGACTTCCGTCGCAGGTAATATTCGCCCACATGGCGAACACTCTTTGCCTGACTCGAGGCATAAAGGGTCATAAAGCAATTAAAGAAAGCCCGAATTTCGCAGTATGGAAATTCATGAAAAAGTCACGTAGCAATCCTACTCTTGGTCTTAGCAGCTGCTAGAAAACCCCATAACGGTAAAATGACCATAACGGTATTTCTAAAAACTGTATACGCGACGCGACACTTTGAATAGCGAATTATCCTAACCTCTTTTCCACATGTTCCTTAACCTGTTTGGCATCGTACAAATACTTTTGTCTACTTCAGGTTTCTATTAACTTGTACATACCTTTATCAACTTTTAAATGCTTTAATTTGGTTCAAAGATTATTTTATCATGCTTCACACTTATATTTTCTTGAAACCACTGTAAATGTTTCAAATATAATGTATCACAATACTAAAGTCTTCAGAGTGTCCACAAAGTATACACCACATTTATAAATATTAGTATACTTCTATATTACTTCTACTTACTATAGTTATGATATTTATGTATTCCTTATGCATAATTAATCAAAAATACTGTGTATTAATATTGTTTATGTAAAAAATAAC